CATCTTCAGGTGTCTGGACTACTGGTCCGATCCTCACAATATTTCACAGTATTGTGCACTATATTGTATCAAATATATCGTCGACGGTCATTTTGTATCGGTTCCTAAGCGGCATAACTTGTTGAGATCTCATCACTTTCTTTATTTTCAGGTACCTCAACTTCTTCTGGAGTTTCATGAAATGTTATGTCGTAAGCTCTTCTAGAGCTCATTTCCTCCTCATTATGATCATTTTGATCATTAGCTCCTTTTTGTTTTTCAAGGATTGTTACCTTTGGAACCGATTGGTCTACCACGCTTCATGCGTACAGTAAACTCTATCCTTCAGGGACTTTAAATTTTAATAGGAGCATTTGCAGCTGAAATATGATATTTGATTTTGGATCAGCAAACGCTTCTGGCATTTGACTTGAATTATCTTCTAAGTGAGGATCATATTAATGATAATTCGATTCATATAGCATATTTTCAGTTGTTTATTCCATTCCCCAAATGTTAGAAAAACTAACATATATCCCCAATCTTCTTTGGAAAATATATCTTTGTGTATTGTGATAGAGAAATTAATCATATACCACACATCAAAAGATAGTAAAATATTTGATTTCTGATCCTAAACCAATTATGAGGGGAAGACTTATCATATATTGTTGGTATAATGCATACAAGTGCTGCTATATGCAATTTTGAAAATCTTAGACCAACACATGAAGCTTTGTTCTCATAAACAATAGTTTAGCCATTAATAGGAGGTATTCACTGCTAAACTAGCTTGTATATAAACCAGCATTATCAAGATGAACTGTCTTGATTTCATAATCTAAAAATTATGCTCTTAAGTGAGAAAAGCAATTTCAAATGCCAAACTGCAGGTTGACAATAAACATACATGTAACCATCTTATATATGCATCTATAAGTGGTTCACATGATAGGTGAATAGGCCTATATTCGCCTTTTATATATTTCAGAATCAGGGGTCTTAGTCCCAACTTTAGCTGGTATAATCAATTTATTATGAGAACAAGCAACACAGGAGAATTCTTGAAGAATCTTCTAGTTCTTCAGTATATGCTTATCTAAATTCTCAAATAGCTCATTTAAAGTTGGCAAATGAAAACTTCAAGTTTATCATGGCATGTGCTATCTCTTAGTAAACTTCTGGTTTACTATGACATAAACTTTTGCATTAGTAAACTTCTGATTTACTGTGGCTACTTTTGTATTAGTAAACTTCTGGTTTACCGTGATACATGATGTAGTACAAATCGAAGAATAAGACGGGTAACTTCTCATATACATATTATTTTACCCCCTATGATTGTGGAAACATGAAGATTTTCAATCTTCCAATCATTTATAGTCTCAATATGATATCCATTTATTTTAGTAAACTTCGGGTTTACTACAACATATGTTTTGACCATAATCATATAATATGAATGACATATTTGTAAATAAGCTCTTCGAGAGCCTTCATTTATTATCCACAATCTAATATTTATCGGACACTACTGGTGTCATGTGTTTTCTAGGCAAACAGTTAGCCCTTCAGGAGTTGTTGATACATTTTGTACTATCAAATATTGCTCAGATACTTCTGGTATCATAAGAGAAAATCACAATCAAATAAACAATTGTTTAAGCACAAGAAAACTCCTCTTCATAATATTTTCCTACTTCAGGAGGCAATTTCAATTGTATTACTTCTTCAGGAGCAAATTTAAAATACGAAATATTAGAGTATATNGAACATAATTATCTGAATGCACATTAATCACATCAAATTGTGATGCCTCAACCTCTTTTAAAATGTTTACTACTTCAGGAGCAAATCGAGGCGTGCATTTAATATAGAGAATATTTATGTAGCTTATCTTCAATTGTAACCATAGAAAGCCTAAATTATCACTTCTGGTGATCATAGGCATATACCACTTCTGGTGGTTAACAAAATATAGTTACAATGTGGTATACGAAATATAACCACTTCTGGTAGTTGTATATTTCTTGCAAACTCTACTAGAGTTTAAGTTGATCTAATAATGTTATCCATATTCTTCAAAATGACATAAATAAGATATATTATAGTAAACATCATTATCAAATCATAATTTCTCTTTATGTACAACAATTACATAACCATACTATCTATTACAAACAACAAAAATTAAAATATTTACATTTCTACAAATTCACTGCCGATTACATGACTTGTTTCTCCTTCTGGGAGTGCAAAGTAATCAGCTACGTCCAAATGCATGAAGTCTAAATTATCTTCAGAAATAAAATTTGCTTCAGCATTTTTCTCTGTCTTCTTCAGGGAGGCTTGATAAAGCTCAACCAGGTGCTTTGGCGTACGACAGGTACGTAACCAGTGCCCTTTTCCTCCACATCTGTAGCAAGCATTTTCTGCATTTGGTGCTTGCACCGCTTCATGCTTTTGTTCCTTCCTTTTCCACTGCTGGTGGTGAGGAGGGTTCTTTGGTGCATTATTATTACCATGATTAGAGTTTCTTCCCCGACCACGGCCATGACCACGACTGGGGCCACGACCTCTTCCACGTTTAGCTTGGTGGAAGTTCGTCTCATTCACTTCAGGAATGGACAAGAACCAGTAGGTCGGCTTTCATGGTTTTTCATAATAGCCCATTATGTTGCTCGGCTACAAGAAGATGTGAGATAAGTTCAGAATACTTTTTAAACCCCATCTCTAGATATTGCTGCTGCAGGAGCATATTCGAGGCATGAAAAGTGGTGAAAGTTTTCTCCAACATATCATAATCAGTAATATTATCACCACATAATTTTAATTGGGAAATAATTCTGAACATAGCAGAATTATACTCACTGATAGATTTAAAATCTTGTAGCCTTAAATGAGTCCAGTCATAACGTGCCTGTGGAAGAACGACCATCTTCAGGTGGTCATATCTATCTTTCAAATTATTCCACAGTATGACTGGATCTTTAGCAGTAAGATATTCCATTTTCAGGCCATCATCAAGGTGATGGCGTAGGAATATCATTGCTTTGGCACGGTCTTGGTTTGATGCCTGATTTTTATCCTTGATGGTGTCTGCTAGACCCATCGCATCAAGATGAATTTCAGCATCAAGCACCCAAGACATATAGCTTTTGCCCGATATATCCAGGGCTACAAATTCAAGTTTAGAAAGATTTGACATTATATAGAAAAAGAAAGTTCGTACCTCAGATACTTTCAAAGTATTTGCTCGAGATGGCAGAGTCTCGTACTGATAACGTGTTATAAAATAAAGACTGTAAAATAAAGACAAGTATAGAGAGAAACTGATATATTATTCGAATTCCAAACTGATATACCTAATGAACTGAAATCTCTTCTATTTATAGAAGAAAGGAAGCTGCTGTGTGAGCTGCTACTGCAAGCTGCTGTGTGAGCTGCTATTATACCAGATATGGATAATCTTCTACCAGGGGCAATGATTATCCATAACGGAGTACTGAAAGAATAAGCTCATTGTACCCGGTATGAATAATCTTCTACTGGGGGTAATGTTTATCTATAACCGGGTACCGAAGTGATAAGCTTATTATACCCGATATGGATAATCTTCTACCGGAAGTATTATTTATCCACAACCGGGTACCGAAGTGATAAGCTTCTTCAGGAGGCTTATTTCCAATAAGAGTACTAAATAGATAAACATATTTACGACGGAACCCCATATGGATAAACTTCTTCAGGAAGCTTATTTACAACGGAGTATGAACATCCATAATATAATATATTTATAACAGTATGCAAGTTGTATATAAATTCTATGTGTTTGACCAGATATGTACATATTTTGTACCCAAATAAATTAGCTACATTTTGTAAATAGAAAAACCTAGCTGAAATGGGTAAATATTATCCTAATTGTGTATCTATAATAAACATTCACCCAAAGAAATGGAAAGAAGGAAAGAAAAGAAAATGAGGCCTAGGTGTGCTATTTCATTTTTTGAACGCCCAATTCAGTATATTTCTCCAAGAAAAAAGAAAGAAAAAAGAAGAGTACGTGATTTTCTTTCCGTGGTCATTATCCCCAAAATTAAGGTGTTACAATTAGAACAGCTAACAGTTTATTCAAATCAGCTACATAATTAGTGTAACATTAAAAGTTTTAGGACCTCTTGTGTGTTTTATGAGTCCTATTATAAATTGGGATTTCTTCAAAAGGTTATTATCTATGACAATATATATATATATATATATATATATATATATATATATATATATATATATATATATATATATATATAGTTTTATGGTCACTATTGAAGTTATACTTATATTGCATAAAAATTTACAAGTTTACCTGCTTTGGGCTCAACTTCAGTTAGCGAGTCTGAGTTGGAAATTCGTGTCTGAAGTTGCAAACTTAAGATGCACTTCAAACTGTTTTAGTCTGAATCATGCACTTAAGACTTTTTTAGTCCGAAGTGCAAAAATTACGCTTAAGATGCACTTAAGACTTAATTGGTCAGTGCAACTAATTTTTTTTATGCACTTCACTTTAGTCTGAACTCTAAAGTGCGAATTGCCCAGAAACAGAAACTTGTTCTTTGAATGTCAACAATCCAGCACTCAAATCTATTCCAAATGAGCTCAAATTTGAAACATAACTTTCAAATAGCATAAAGAACGAACTATAATCATCAACTTATCAAAACAACAACAAATCTAACAAACTCATTTTGCAACTAAGAGGAAGAAGAAGAAACCCCAAGCAGTAGCAAAGAGAGGAGCATCACATCAGCTCACTACTGTAAAATACCATAAACTATCTTAAAATCTTCTCATAAACACCATGTAAAACCATCGTCACCTTTGCTTTCAGCAACTAAGAAAAAGAAGAAAAAGAAGAAGGGAGGAGACAATAGTCTGAAGTTACCTGTACTTTGAGTAATAATTAATTTTATTAAAAGTTAATACAAGTTAAATGAGTGTGACCAAATAGCGCCCCGTGAAATTTTTACCAATCTCATGCCTCAACCATCTACAACCAAATGCCTTTTAGAATCCGAATGGGCTTTTCTTTTCCTTTCTTTTTTGTGACATGAAAAAGGAAATTTTTGCTTTCATTATGCTCTGACAATGGAAATATGAACTCTTAGTAGCCACTCACTGTGTTTTTCAGTTTCCAAATAATAAGTTTGAAGGGTTGGGAGAAAATGAAAAGTTTAGAATTAATACTGCATGAACGAGAATAAGCTATATGAATATGCAATTAAATCAGGCTTCTTTACACCCATTATTCATGGAAATATAGATACATTTAGCAAGAAGCTGCAAAGGGAAAAAAACACAAATAAGATCTCGCACTCGTATATACCTTATTTGTTTGCATCTGCATGCTTTTAATGCTTGTATCGAATTTGAGCAAATTATTTCCAGCAGCTACGACCAACAAATGTCAGGAAGACCAATAAACAAATCAGTCTCCACCTCTGTATTCTGGACACTATGGCTACAGCTTGCTGTTTCTTTCTGCTGGGATATTCGTGTTAGGGGAGGTGGTGGTGCTTCTGGTTGCCGCCTTAGCCCACACTATCAACATGATGATAAGAATTGTCAACAAAACCAGGTCATACATAAACTTTATGAGTAATATTTTGGACACTGATGTTATTTAGAACTTTTACACGATTAGATTTAGTTGATTTTGACAAGAAAATGGACCTTGGACCTAATAACTCCAAAACGCTAGTTTATGAGGTTAGAATTACCCAAAACCATATAAGTCCAACGTTCCTTCTCATAGCCAATATGGGACTCAATGGCCCTGTATGCCTAGGACTGAACATCTAGAGTGTGAACAAAATAAGATGGGGGTCAAACATCGAGTAAACAATAAATTAAGAATTCTGATACAATGATAAGAAAATGAGCTTTGGACCTAACTCTACCCTGAAAGTTAGCTCATGAAATGAGGATTGCCCAAGATCATATAAGGAGTCCAAATTTCCTTCCCACATCCCAATGGAACTCAACGAACTTACAACAACAAGTAACTCGTCATATCAAGATTGATATGGTAACCTAAAAAGCAGAGTAATTAACGACCTCTTCTAAGTGGTTAATTTGCATCAATGGTATATAATTTTTTACTGTTAGTGTATATAACTTAAACTCATAGTTTAGATAGGCTTCAGACTTTAATTATTGGGTCTAAGATTGCTTTAGCATTATCATTAGTCGTATATAATTGCAGAGTTTACTCTCACATGCGGTTCTTGGAATTGAACTTGCAGTTTCATAAACTGTAGAGCTTCATTGATCTAACCCCTTTTAGTTAATTTAGTTTAGAAGAATAAACCAAAAAAATGATACAAACATGACCTCGACCACTTTGACAAGATATATTATTATTATTCGGCAGAGCAGATATATGGGAAACTTAATTAATTCACCTCTTCAGATAACCTTTCATTTTCTTCAAGCAATTGTTTTTCCTGCACAAGAGGGAACATTTAAATAAGCAGTAATTAATAAAACCCTGAAATGCATTGAAGTTGTTTCATCATACCTTGGCTTTTAACCGTTCTATTTCGTCCTTGAATAATTGAGTCTAGAAAATGACCAATAAAGAACCGGTTAATCAATGAAGGCAAATCACTTATACATTTTAGGAGTCACCAATTACCAAAGAAGAAGAAAAGGGAATCAACTCCACTTTGCAGGACACATATTGGTTACACTATCAGCATATATAATTTAAATTTAAATTGGTATATTAATACCTTTCGTGCCCTGATGTTCTTCAGGTTTCTTTCCAGCTGGTTGTCAATCTCTTGAAGTTCATTCATTGAACATGATCCAATACCTTGACCCATAAGCTTCCTAAGCATTTCAAATTCAAGATTGCACTGAATATGCTGAGAAATATAAAAGAGAGAGTATCACATTGAAGAATGCAGGGGGGAAGTAACTGCTAGCACAATACCTCTTAGAAACTTCAAGGATCTCGATCTTCTTTGCTATGTTTGCTGTTTCTTCCTTCAAGTGCTGCAAATCAAAATCAATTATGTAATAACATGAGGAGAAAACATGGGGAAAATTTCCACGAGGTGGGGGGATATAAAAAATTTCTCCAAGCTTAAGGAACCAACCAACTGCAGATGATGAGATGCAACAAAAGAAAAAGATTGCTTATCTGATCCATCTTTACATCACAACTAACAACTTCATGTTCTTTGGGGTGATCATGTCATTTACTGATTGAATATAAACATATATATTACAAAATAAACAAGTAATAATGAGGGATTGAATTGATCCATGTTTAAGTCAAATGGATCCTGGCCTGTGTGTGTATAGTCTCTTATTCAGTCCTTATCAATGGCAAGCCGACTGAACCTTTTGAGGCTATCCCCATTTATGTTTGTAATGGCTATGGAATACTTGAGTAGGTTATTGAAGCCTCTGAAGGAGAACAAGAGCTTCAAATTTCACCCTAAGTGTGCAAAGGTCAACCTGGTGCAATTGGGATTTGCTGATGATCTGCTACTGTTTTGCAAAGGAGACCTGCAGTCCGCGAGTATACTCTACAACCAGTTCCAAACATTTTCTGCTGCCTCAGGTTTAATAGAAAGTCCAAACAAAAGCAATGTTTACTTTGGTGGAGTGGGTAGTCATATCCAGCAACAAATCACAGAGCTGCTAGGATACTCTAAAGGTGACCTACCCTTTAGATATCTGGGAGTTCCTCTGAGCACAAAGAGGCTAACAGCTATACAATGTTAGCCTCTATTGATAAGATGCTAGGAAGAATTCAGAACTGGACTACTAAGTTTCTATCTTATGCGGGAAGAGCTATACTAGTGAAAAGTGTCCTTTTTGCTTTTCAAACCTTCTAGCCTCAGGTTTTCATCTTACCAAGGAAAATCATACCGTTCATAGAGGCTATATGTAGAAGATTTCCGTGGAAAGGGGCTGCTGAACCTACCAAAAAAGCACTAATTGCCTGGGAAAAGCTCTGTGCTCCTAAGGTAGCAGGGGGCCTTAACTTTGTAAATGTAGAGATGTGGAATAAAACAGCAACATGTAAGCTTTTATGGAACATATGTACAAAGAAGAAGAATTTATGGGTGATATGGGTACACTCATACTACATAAAAGACAAAGTTGTATGGGACCCAGAACCAAAGAGTGCTTCCTGAATCGTGCAGAAGATATTCAAGGCTAAGCATTACTTTGAGGCAGCTGGATACACTGAAGAAGATGTTCACCCGATGGAGTGCTTCTCAATTAGACAAATCTACAAAGATATGCAAGGTGACTTCCAGAAGGTGACATGGAGAAAACTAGCATGCGACAATCAGAGAATGCCAAAGTGGATTTTCATCTCGAGACTAGCATTGCTAAATAGGCTATCTACAAAACAAAGGTTAGCCAAATGGGGCATCATTCTAGATCAGATATGCTCCTTACGTGGAAAGGAGAATGAAACAGTGCAACATCTCTTCTTTGAGTGTGAAGTCACTGGAAGGAGTACAGAGACCGAAGAAAACTTGGCAAGAAGAGATCCAATGGATAGAGAAATTTGGTAAAGGCAAGAGTGGAGGGGCTGCAATATACAGAATGTCTCTTGCAGCAGCTGTCTATCATGTTTGGCAAGAAAGGAACTGTGTCACTTTCCAGAAGAAGAAGAGGTCAGCCAAAGCCATAACACGACCGATAATTCAGGAAATTCATGTGAGGGCTAGTTTGTTCCCTAGGCTAGCGAGAGCAATGAAATAGTTGAATTGGGTATCCAGAACTTGTCTAGATAGAACGAGATGAAAGTGGCAGAAAGGTAGTGAGAATTAGGTAACTCCAACCTGGGGCATCATGTCCAGTTGGAGTTATGCTAAGCGAACTTACTGTTATGTGTTGATTTGTACATAATTATAATAAAATCTTTTATTTACCAAAAAAAAAAAAAAATGATGAAGTAAATGTATATTCATCTTTTGGGGGCAAAGTAGGGCATGTTATGTTGGAATAGTAGTGGAATAACAAAAATAATACTGCAATATTATGTTATTGAAACCAAAATAGCAAAAATATATTTGGAGAAGAGGGGCATGAGGCTTGACCTTCTCAGAATCTCAAAAAAAATTGGCATTTCAAACTCGAGAACAAAAGAGACTATAGTGTAGTTTATATAGGTGCTTTACAGTGTATTTCTTGTAGATATCCCGATCAGGTAGGTCTATCTACTGAGATCCTACTACAAAATCATCCTAGGGAGTTAGAAACTAATTTATTCTTGCTATTTATCTATGCAGTTTTTCTATCCGCTCCAATTCTTTCCTATTTTGCTGCATGTGCATTATCATCTCAATTCTGCACAATCCCTCCTCGATTTTCTGCCATACTTTCTCAGGCCATGGTACCTTGTTTTGCCATAGAGCTTCATTCCTTGCCTTCCATTTGCCATATATAACTGCTGCCATAATTGTTATCACAAAAGCTCTACATAGTTTCTCTTTAATTACTCTGCTCAGTCTTTTCCAGATCCCCTGTAGATCAAGCTATCTGAGTCGAATACCCAGCTAGTTAAGCATTGCTTCAATACATTTTCTGGAGAATTGACAGTTAAAGAATAGTTGTTGCAAGGATTTATCATCTGCACCACCAAGTAAGCATGTTCTATCTTGTCTTAAACCATATTTGTTTAGTCTATCCAAAGTTGTATAAAGTTGTTGCAAGGATTCATCATCTGCACCACCAAGTAAGCATGTTCTATCTAGCCAGCATATAAAGTTGTGTTTTGGTAGGTTATTCTTGTTCCATACCCATCTTTCATAAGGCCATAATTCTACCTTCCCTCGACTCTATTTATATCCTTTCTTTACTGTATATTTGTTTCTTTCCTGTAGCCACCCATTCTGTATAAAACCAGGAGCATAATTATTCTTGATTGTACATATTTTCTTCAAGTACCAAGAGCAGTCCTGAGGAGGTTGATATTGCCACCATTTTGCACCTTTTAAGTATATATGGTTTACCCATTGAACCCATAATGTATCACTTTTTTTGGCTATATTCCACATATACTTGGCTAGAGCTGCATCATTCCAGGTTATGCATTCTGTGATGCCAAGTCCTCCCTCTCTTTTTGGTCTACATACTATGTCCCATGCCACTAGTGTGATCCTACTACTTATTGCTTTCGCATCCCACAGATAGTTCCTGCATTTGCTAATAGTGCTCTTCATTGTCTTCTTAGGTAGCATGAAGATAGACGCACAATAGGTGTGAAGGTGCATTAGTACTGCATTTATAAGCTGCACTTTCCTTGCATAGTATCAGTTCCTCGACCCCCACCCTTTGATTTTCATCAGCAACTTGTTCACTAACATTTCACAATCCATATCGTTCAACTTTTTTGATGTTACAGGCACCCCAGATATATGAATGGTAATGCACCTCTTTGATAATCTGTTAACTCACATAAATCTGATATCTCTAGCCCATTCATGTTTGCACAATATATATTGGACTTGCTTGCATTTACTGTTAGACCTGATGCCTTTGAAAAATTCTCAAACCCTCTAAGCATTAATAGCACAGCATGAAATTCTCCTTTACAAAATATTAAAACATCATCAGCAAACTATTAGTGGTTTAACTTCATCCCTTTGTATATTGTATGATATGCAAACCCCTCATGTTTTGCTACATAGGCTATAATTCTGGTGAAGTATTCCATGCACCATAAATAGGATTGGTAAAATTGGGTCACCTTGCCTAAGTCCTCTCCTCCCATTAATATTGTCATATGTTCCTCCATTCAACGCAATAGTATACAGGAGTGTTGATGCATGCCATTATCACATTATGAATTTCCTAGGAAAATTCATTGCATAGAGCATTTCTTCAACAAATTCCTATCCCACTGAGTCATAGGCTTTCTTTAAGTCAATCTTGATCAAACAAATTTTAATGAAGTTCTTTCTTGCCTTACCAAGTCTTGGCACACCAATATATTCTGCTTAATTGTTCTTCCAGCCACAAATGCACTTTGATTGGGTGAAATAATGTTGGGCAGAACCCTCTTCAGTCTATTGCACAATATTTGGAGATAGTTTAGATTGTATTGCACCATGCAATGGGTCTATAGTCTCCAATTGTTGTCGCATGACTTCCTTTTGGTATAAGTGTGATTAGTGTACTATTTAAGGCGAAGAGCATTCTTCCTTCTTGAAAGAACTCCAACACTTCACATGTTACATCCTTCCCAACTACGTCCCAATTATCTTTAAAAAAGTGACTCCCATAACCATCTGGTCCTGGTGCTTTATCTCCTGGAATATCCCATAAAGCTTTCTTGACCTCCTCACTTGAGAATGCTGTTTCTAACATGGTTCTTTGATCAGCTGTTATCACTTTCCTGCTTTAATTACGTTACTGGCCTCATGCACCCTTTTGTGTTGTGCAGTCCCCAGCAATGCTTTGTAAAATTCCTCAAATGCTTCTGCTACTTCCTCTGTTGAGGTCACTGTTGTTCCATGTATATTCTTCACTGTAAAAACTATATTTATTGTTCTTCTTGCCTTTATCATGTTGTGGAAGAATTTGGTATTCTGGTCTCCATATTTTAACCACTGCACTTTACTTGTTTGCTTTAGGAATTCATCTCTAGCCTTCTTCCAATAGATACATTGTTTTGTCAGCATGACCTCCTAATTTATCAGCTTCTCATTTCTAGGATCCTGCTGAACTTGTGCCTGACAGTCCCGTGGAGTCTGCATTGCTTTATCTTCTTGCTTTTCTACTTCTTTATCTTTGTTTAACTTCATGAGTATTCTATTTAGTCTGTTTATTTTCCCTACCAGTTTGTACATTTTTGTCCCATATATGTGTTTAGACCAGCTTTCAGTCACCCTTGTCTAGAAGTCCTTAACTAGACTCCACATGTTATAGTATCTGAATGTTGCTTTCCTCTTCTGCCTACTCTCCTCCCAAGTTATAATTGCAGGGTAATGATCAAACAATCCCTCTTGCATATAATGCACGTCAGAAGCAGGATGGCTACTAATCAAATCTTTATTTATCAATACCCTGTCAATTCTACTCTATGTTGCTCAGACTCTCCGAAAATGTCGCCGGGTGCATGTCCGATACTCCAAAAGTAGTGTATTTTTGGAGAATCCGACACGGGTGCGGCAACATTTTGGAGAGTCCGCGCAACATAGATTCTACTTACTACTCTATCGGAACCCTCTTGCTTGTTATTCCATTTTGTAATCCGACACGGGTGCGGCAACATTTTGGAGAGTCCGCGCAACATAGATTCTACTTACTACTCTATCGGAACCCTCTTGCTTGTTATTCCATTTTCTATCAGAAGACTTCATATCAAATAAGTCACAGTAGGCCACGCGGTTTCTAAAGTCTCTGATTTCGGCAAGGCTTACCCTTCTTCCTACTTTGTCCTCTTGATGTAGTAGAGAGTTGAAATTTCCCATCACAACCCAAGCACCTTGCGTTTGTCCAGCTAACAGTTCAATGTCTCTCCACAATGTCTTTCTCAATGCCTGATCATTATATCCACACACCATTGTGATGTTGAATTTCTTCCTTGTTCTTAAATGAATAATCTCACTATGAATTAGTTGCTCAGTCACCAAACCTATATTCGCTACAAATATTTAAGGTTTCCACAATAGCCACACCCTTCCTACTGGATGTGATGAATGATTGGTAACATAAGGACACCTTGCGCAAAGATAAGAGATGCCTTAATTGCCTTAGCCCTCTTAATTTTTTTTTCCAGGAGCCCAAATAAACCTACCTTCTGTTTGTGCATGAACAGGTTCATTTCCTGTTGCTTGGCTATTCTATTTAGGCCCTTGGTCCTGAAATCAATGCTATCCATAAGGAGGGAGGGGGATCTATCCCCCATCCATCCATTTTGTGCTTCCCCAACTGTTTATTCCTTCCTGGTTACTATAAATCTTGCCCTTTCCTGCTTCCTCTGCACTTATCCCATTGTCCCCTCCTGCTAAAGCTGCATATGTATTTGACCTGTTGAGTATGTACTATCCTGTTGTCTCCACCTGTGGTCTGACCTTGTTGAGTATGTACATTCCTATTGTCTCCTACTATGGTCAAGGTCTAAGTATCTTTAGGTTTTTCCTGTCGTGCATTCACCTTGTTTTGGCCTTGATGTGCCCTTGCCACTTGCCACTTGCTGCTCCTCCATTCTTACTAGCTGGTTCACCAGTTCCTTCCCCTCTCTTTTCCTCATTTCATTATCAGTTTTGTGTGTCCTCTCTTCTCTTACCTGCTTCCTACACTCCTTCAATTCATGCCCAAAGTTCCCACACTTATAGCAAAATCCTGGCTTCCATTTATATATGACTTGTTGTTCAATGATCTTCCCACATCCATGCTCAAACAGGATTTTATTAGGATACTCCTGCTGTAGTGATACTTCTATTAGACTCTAGCATATTGCAGCCACTCTTTCTCAATCATAGCTCTATCGGCTTCTAATGGTTTTCCTATCATTTCTGCTATTTTTGTTAATGAAGTTTGTCCCCAATACTTAATATCCAATCCAATTAATCGAACCCGCACAAGTCTTTCATCAATCACCTGTTTGTTGAACTTGATGTCTGGTCTCCATGGTTTCACCACAATTGGCTTCTTATCAAAAATCTTAATGCCTTCCTCTACATATTTTGTTCTATTCTCAATCGTGTGGAATCTCACCATGAAAACTCTTCTATTCACCTGTCCAAATTTTGCTATCCCCAGGTCGTCCCATATTTCCAATAGTCAATTTCATCATTAACGCCGTCCATTGTAATTTGTTGCTTCCCGTATTCTGCTCCATTGCTAAGTTAAAAACCCCTCTATAATGGGGGGTTTTGCCCTACCACCTTGGTCCATGTCCCCTTCAGACCTGAGTTCTCCTTAGGGTTACAATTACCCACTATTTTGTTCCCTTACGTCTGCCTCTTCGACCATATCGGCCCCTGATTTCCTCCCTTTACCGCTGCTTCCAGACGTATTAGCTGCCTCAGATGGGTTTGATTCAATCACCGGCCGTCGGCTAAGATCCAGCAGGAAAATCCCTTGCAATATATTAATATTCCTAAAATTATTCACATCACTTGAATTTGGTCCTTGCTTCTGCCCAATTTCGATGTAACTACTCACTTTACTGCTCCCTCTACCTCCGAATTTCGCCTTCCCAGTCATGTTCAACTGAAGCTGAGAGGATGGTTCATTCTAGAGAGAGAAAGGTTTCTTGTTACAATTTATTGTTCAAGTGCTAGTTCTAAACTCCCATAGGCAAAAATCGTAAATGTATTTCCATTTTGAATAATGACTTAAACACAAAACAATAGAAGTCCATAATCAAACATCCTCATTAATACTTTTGAAAATGATTGACTAGAGTACGTAGGAGGAGAAGGAAGGATGAAAGTGAAAGAGGATTAAGGGGTGAGGGAGTTGGATTATGAGTATTGGAAGAAGTTGACATTGCTAGGTTGGGCTCTGCTACCATATAAATTCAAAAAATTATTAGCTAGAAGAACATAAATTTGATATACAGTGTAGTTATAATTTTAGCATTACACAAACTGTAGAGATAACTGCATTGAAGATAATACTTAGCCTGATCCCAAACTGTTTAAATTTAAATCTGTTGTACCAATAAATATAAACATATACTACAAAATCAAGAAATAGTGAATGATTGAATGAATCCACGTTTGATAAAACAGTAATGAAGTAAATTTATTTCGTTTTTGGCGAAGTAGAGCGCTTTAATGAGAAGAAAATAGCAAAAACACATTTGGAGAAGGGGAGCATGAGGCCCGACTTCCTCAGAATCTCTACCACCAAAGGATGTGGTGCAGTGGATGGGACTGCCTCCCTTAATCAGACGTCTCGGGTTCGAGCCCGGGTATGGAAAAATCCTTAGTAAGGAGCGCTTCCCCCCCGAATGAGGCCCTATGCGGCGCGAATCCGGATATAGTCGGGCTCCAATGCGGGTACCGAACACCGGGTGAAAAAAAAAAATGACTTCCTTAGAATCTCTAAATTGGCATTCCAAACTCTTGACAAATGAGACAGTAAGTGTTTGTACTGGTGCTTTACAGTGTATATTTAAGTTCTAGTTCTAAACTCCCAAAGCGAAAAATCGTACAATATATTTTCATTTTGAACAACAAATTAAACACAAGACAATGGATGTCCATAATCAAACATCTTCATTCACACTTTTGAAATGGTATAGCAAGTACCCTGGAAGCAATTAATCATGTTAACCAGATTACTCATAAGAAATCTGACCTCCATGTGGTGCTCCACTTCAATGCTGTTATTGTTTTTCAGTGCTTCTTTTGTATTTTCACGATATCTTCCAATGGCCTTCTGCATGCTGCTGAATTATTCCAAGAAGCTGAAGTAATCATTAAAATTTTATAGAGGTGTTTGCAAACAATGAAAGATATATTGAAATAGGTACCATGTTTAATTGCATAGAAGATAAAAGAACAAATTGTTGGGATCGAAGTAATAGACGTCACGCAAAAGCTAACAAAACAAACCTTAACAATAATAAATCAAACGAACAAAAAATATACAAAAAGAGGCATAATACTATGATATGGTTTGATCAATTGGCTTATATATGAGAAAAATACTACTTTAAAAGAATTATGAAGAGAATAGTCTCCCGCTAAGCAAAATTATTTTAATAACTACATTTTGGATGCTATTCTATTGTTGGATCTTCAATTTATAGAAGTGCAAAATATTTCCTCCAAGAAAATAATTTGTCAAATATGGTAGTATTTTCCTTTTAGGAAAAGTGAAACTCAATTATGGTATTCTTTTTCTTTCCTTCGAGAGAAAAGGTAAAATCCAATATGATAAGAAAATCATGACAAACTAACAAAAATCTCAGTGGCTTTATCCTTTACAATTAAACGTCTCTTAGATTCTTCTGTTAAGTTTTCGACGTGTGAATTTGTATTTCTCCATCCCTTGGATTGAATCTTGTAGATGAATGCTAATTTAATTGCTTTCAAGTTCCTTTATTTGTCATTAGCTGGTTCCATCAATCATTTGAGCAATTGTCCTTTTGTTTCTTCTCAATCTTGAGGTTTGGTCACAACATCATCTCCATATGTTGCTGTTGTATACCACCTAAAGAGGAGAATATGCATCACACTTTTATGGATAGTAATATGGCAACTAAGACCTGAAAATGTTTTGGGACCCCTTCGGGGATCAACTGGGAAGATACTAATATTATTTTGATGTTGAACAAATGGTGGAGTTTAAAGCCCAAAAATAGGATCCATCACGTCATTCTGAGAATAACTACCGTGGTTATTTATTGGGAGTTATGGAAGGCTTGGTGCTCCTCTCTAAATATGGTGGTAAGAGAATTTCTGGAAGTAGAATATTATTCCAGATTCAATATCATCTGAGACGGGTCACTGATAAAAATTGCAATGGGATTAGCTGGAATATGCCAAGGAATGCTATTTCTGAGAAGTTGATGGTATGAATCATTCAGTGAGATGCTTAATGGTGAAGTGGGAAAGACCAGCTACTCAAGAACTAAAATTAAACACAGATGGAAGCAGGCTTGCTGATGGTTCTACTGGTATTATTCAAGATCACCAAGGTAATGGGAAGTAATAATTGTGTTGAAGCTTCAGCAACCTTAATCGGGGTTAAATGGTGCCACACACATGGCCTTGCTAATCTCATCCTAGAATGTGACTCCATGATAGTCATTGAAATGTTGAGAGAAATATTTAAGGTGCCTTGGTAGTTGCAGTCCATTATAGAAGAGATTAAACAGATAATATACTTGCAAAACATCAAAGTGCAACTTTGTTTTAGAGAAGGAAACCAAGTTGCAGATGTCTTAGCTAATTGGAGTAATAGAGGACAACATAGTATTTTCTTCAGTCCATCAAATTGCCTAAAGATGCCTTTGGCCCATACATATTGGACAAGCTGCAGATGCCTTCCTTCAGACATAAAGCTTTGAAGAACTCTTATAATTAGCCATAGGGAGATGTTGGATGACATGTATATTTTGTCCCTCTATATTTTGCTAAAACTTCTCCTATTGTCTCTTTCCTTTTAGCTGTTGTAATTTGTAAACTCTTTTTTTTTTTTTTGGTGTTCAATACAAGGGGGATGCCACCTAAGGCGTAATTATATATTTTTTTTAAAATCTTGGGTTAAGGTTATTGTGTGGTGAATATAAACGATCAAGTTTCCCATAACTTGATTTTGCTTTTTCACTCATCTAATTGGTCTTATTATCCCATCTATCCTTAACATTGCTTTCATCATTTTCATAGCTGTTCTTGAGGGGCTGAAGGATTTTTCACGGGAGCCCAATACGGCCCTTCCCTAAAGCAAGTAAAGTAATTGCTTTAGGTCCCATATTTGTGGCCTCCC